CAAGGGCGCTAGAACTGAAATTATGACCTATAAGATCCAAAAATTGCTTAATTTATCCAACATAAGATAGTCGATAATAAATTGTAAGTTTTACTTATCTGAAATATACACTGAAATGTCGTCTTAGACACTAAAAAGCACTTGATTTTACGAAATTCATCCAAATGATCGTTACTCAAGCGGTTGTTGCTGAATTTATTACCGCTGTCCTTGTTGTACCAGCCACTGCTGTCTCGCCAGGAACGTTATTCATTAACCGGATTAAAATCACTTTGCCCTGGCCTAGTAAAACTTACAATTTATTATCGACTATCTTATGTTGGATAAATTAAGCAATTTTTGGATCTTATAGGTCATAATTTCAGTTCTAGCGCCCTTGATTTACCWCTGTCCAATTCTACGTAGCAACTTGCTTCGCACGTAGCCTACCTTCAGAGAAAATTGCGTAGTGTAGGGCAACTAAGTTCAAATCAGGTGTGGCCATCGTATCACCACAGCACGGAATAGTCTCCTTCATGGTTCCCTAAAAGTTTCCCAAAAAGTTTGCACCCCCTCATACATTCTCTGTCTAATTTTTTTTCTCTGTCTGGTTTGTATCAAATGGCGGAAACAACCTTGATTTGGTCTATTGTCATCTCGCAATATTTTTTGAATGGCTGCACGATGTAGAACTAAAAAAACAGCAACTTGTAATAGCATCCATTTGTACGGCCTCGAACAACGTACCTTCCTCCCAATTGTTGAAGCACATACTGTATCAGTGAGCTGATGCACTTTTACTACACAACCCCTGTTAAGTAGTATGTAATCTCTAGCAACTCGTTTTAAAACGTCGTAACCCAGACAAATAGCTAAGAAACTTAAGAATACCTTTCTGTAAAAGCCAAGTTAGACGGCACAACTTTTGCCTGCATCCATCGCATGCAACCTGGTGAAGTCCTCTTTATAACAGAACATACAACTGTCGTACACACTGATTCAGAATAACAACTGTGAGAAAGGCATGTATCACATTCGATGATTGTAAATGTCGTTTTATTTGGCCTTAACAGAGACAGAGTGTTCCCAACAGATAGTCTTCTTCACGGTTCCCTGCGCCATCTTGAAAGGTAGCGGTACCTTTACATCAAAGCGAGACTACCGTTTAGCGTGTAATGGTAGAATCCTTCTCTCATACCAACAGATACTTATTTATAGGTACCTATCATTGGTAGTCTCGTTTGTCTCGCTTCGATGCAAAGGCACGGCTACCTTCCAAGATGGCGCAGGGAACCGTTGTCTGTTGTCACGTCAATACAATAGCCAGTGTCATGCCAATGCAACAGCGTCTTAATTTGTATCAATCATCCAGGTTGTCACTGTTCGAGAAATGTTTGGAAAGCAGTTGATGCAGATAAGTGGCATGTCAGCAGATAAAGCAGTTGCTGTTTTAAACAAGTATCCAACGCCTAAAAGGTATGATACATTGAAAACCCAGCATAGCTGAACGGCACTATTCTTGGTTAGGGTAGTGGTTCTTTTATGCATTTTAGGAATTCAGTCTGAGCTTTAAAATAATACCAGAAACAGCTTGCCACCCCTGGGGATACAGCCAACTCGGTAAAAATTGGTCAGGGCCACTAGTATAAGTTCTTATCTGGTTCTTGTTGACAAAGCCAAGATAATTTCCCATATATTA